TATATTGGATTTTGAACTTACTACTAGACCCGTGAATGGGCATGTACTCCAATGCTACGTACAACACAAAATCTGGACACTACCCGACGAGGTCTGAATAGTATGCTGGGATCGATTAATCCCACCCATCGGTAGACACGTGTTACAAAAAACTTTAAGATTTATGTGACGTAATACTAAAAGCAAAAGTTTGAATTTCATGTCAGTTTACCCAAAAGCGAATGCATGGCGTCACCGTCACCGGTGCTATGGATAAATAGCGTGCAATCACTATAAGATCCCAGTATCTAAGAGAAGAACAAAGGAAACAAAGGAAAGAGCGGCGGGACATCAGTGACAGCATAAGTACACCTTTAAAAACACATAAAACAGGTTGAGATGTCTCATAAAAAGGCGGAGGCGGCGTATTCCTGTTGAAAGACGGAGCCGACGGATTATTTTGGCGCGGAGAGGAGGAATGGGGATGGGAGTGACTGAAAGACCTCCAACGCCCGGTCATCGGTGACAAGGCATAAATGGGTGTTAGGAGAGGCCCGAGCGAAGCCTTGCGTAAGTTTCGCGTAGGGGGCTGGCATAACATGCAAATATGAGGTTTAGGTGCTGACAGACTGCGCGAGCACTGGTCCACTGGGCCTCAAAATGCAGATCCACTGTTTTTTCCAGTCCAAATACCTCCTCTCCGGAAGGAGCCACGGCGCTGCCAACGGGCTTAGGCAAAAAGTAAGGTGGGATAAACATGAGTAACAGTTTCTACGACTAAAACTTCGAGATAATCCGTAATAGAAGTAAAACAAACTAGCCAGCTTCGACAAATCACCTGGCGTCAACGACGAGGAAAAAATATGCCGGAGAGCGAAAGATGACTTGCATGGACGTTTGTTTAAAGCATAGCAAACATGAACTGCCTTTGGTCCCTATTCCTTCCCACATGCAAGACGTCTTCGATGGAAAAGTAAAGTTAAGGCACTTAAAGATGGCTGCAAGCGCAGTACCTAACAAATCCAAACAGTCTGCCTGAGCGTACAACAAATAAAATAGTTCCGAAACTTTAAGCAGGCCAGGCCTCCGAGAGGGATTCAAGGATTTCATTTAGGTTAAAATGTCATAAAGGTCAGTGAAGTCTGACCTCGGTCAGGAGGGCATAATTAACTTGCCAGTTGACAACTTTGAAACCTATGACTACTAGAGCATAGTGACAGTTTAGAGTTCATTTACTCCGTCAAGAAACTAGGCACTTCATTCGTCTCAGCCTCTCTTCCCTATACTAAATATTACAGACAGGCTGCAAGTTACGTCGACTAGGACAAAGATAGGCCGCAGTGGCCAACATGTGGAGCCTTCATTTTTGCTTGTGACAGAAACAAGCCGTTGGGATGACATTGCATTTCTCTACCCAGCATCTTTAGTAATACATTTTCCTGCATTAAC